GTGCAGCGGAACCGCCGTCATCAAAATGACAACTTGGTGTCCGGGGCGCCGAACATCGCCAGGCATCTGAGCAGCCACCTGACGTTGTTGGCCACCGCTGCCGTCACCGCGGGGACGTTGTCGCCCACGAGGTGTGATGTCGCCCGGGTTGTGAGAGCGTTTCCACCCAGTGACACCCACACCACGATGGCGTCGTGGGCAGGACCACTGCCATGAGCGGGACGTCCAGCGTCGGTTCATGACGGCCCGCCTCTGTTTGTAGAGCTCTGGACGAACGCTGCGTATATGTAGACCTCTACGGCCCCTGCAGCCCTGAGGCCTTCACCCAGGTGGCGAGTTTTTGTCGCTGTGGATCCGAGGCGTCGCACATGAGAGTCCCCCACCGTATGAATAATGAAATCCGCCTGTTTTACACTACGGTCCTTACCGGCAGATTGATGGCTGGAACCTCGACCCTCTCGCCGACCGTGTTCTGGGTCTTCGTAGTGTTTGTAGCCCCATTGAAACTTTTTTAGGTTGACGGTCTCGATGATGCTGTCAAAGTGTGGAACGTCTTTCGGCCATCATATTCGCTGTCGTCCAGTAATCCTTTTTTCTCTTGTTGTCGTACTGGTTGAACCATGTCTCGTCCAGGTGTATGATAGGCTTCTTCACCCTCACGTGTTTTCCGTCGATTGCTCCGACACAGTTGGGAAAGTCCCATTTTCTCTGTCGGTGTGTTTATCACGTGTTTGTCGTCTATGACGCTGACGCAGTTAGTAAGTTCCCACATTCTTGTTTGCTTGGTCCCGTATTATTACTTATTTGCCGTCAATTGTGCCAACACAATGGAGAAAGTTACACTTTTCTCTGTTTGGGGATGCCGTTATCGTCACGTGCTTATGCTTACCATCTATTGCGCCTACACAGTTGGGAAAGTCGCACTTTTTTCTCTGGGTCGCTTCATCATCACGAGTTTGGGATACAATGCGCCTTCACAGTAGGAAGGCCACAGTCACTTTTCTCTCTTTGCGGGTGTTATTACGTGTTAGTAATCTATCGTGCCTACATATTTACGGACGACGCATTTTTTCTCTCCTTGTGGATGCCGTCATCATGGCGCGCCATCCACGTAACCTAAACAGTTGGGAAAGTCCTACTTTTCTCTGTTTCTTGGTTACTTCATCATGACGTGCTTGCCGTCTATAGCCCCGACGCAGTTGGTCAAGTGTCACTTTTCTCTGATTAAGGTTGTCTTTATCATGACATGCTTGCCATCCACTGCACCCACACACCGCCCGCTTTATATTGTTCGGGTGCACCTTTACTATCTTTTTCTTTCCGTCTATGGTTCCGACATAGTTGGGAAAGTCCCACTTTTCTGTAGCTGTGGTCGCCTTCACGATCACTTGCAGCGTCTAGTGCTCCGACACAGTTGGAAAGATCCCACTTTGAAACGTTTGCGGGCGCCTTCATCATCATGTGTTTTTTTCTCGGCTACATTTAACGCCGGTAAGTACTGTCTCCACGTGTAAACCTTTTTGGTTTTTACGCGTTTTAGCAAACGAGAGTTTTTCGCTTTTTTCGCTTTATAACGGACGCTTTTGCGAGTTTCTCGAGATTTTACGTTACCCTATTGTTATCACCGCTATGACAATATCTGTTATCCATAGAGTCACTATGCAATTATTTGACATCCACATAGTTGGAATAGCAACAGAAGTTATTGGTGGGGTTGTCTAGTACTTACCATGATCGTTGGCTTCATCAAATTGCGTTTCATCGCTTCCCACACTTTCCATTGCATCCATTTCACCGTAAAATGGTATTAATAGCAGAAGGATTACCTCCTTAGCCCTTTCGAAAACCGGAACACTTTTATTCGATCCAAATATTTGGATAAAATCGCGCGTTTTTTACAAGTGAGAGTTTTGCACTTTTTAAAAGTTTAACGAGTTTTGCATGGCACAACTGACGTGTTTTACGAGTTTTGATACAGAGCTTTCTGTATCTTATACATTGTGTTGATCAGTGTGCTCTAATAATGATTGAATTTCCATAGCCGTTGTATAGATTACCATTAAGTAAGATACCGAGCTATTAGATACATGTACTTTTTTAGAAGGGTACATCTGTATCGAACGCATTGTGTCTTTCCAGTTCCAGTCTTGTACCACAATCAAATATGTATACTGTATGTATAGGTACAAACCTGACAAGTTCCGATGAATTGTGGAAACAATGATCAATGTAACGAACTGTATCAATGTATATAAGTCCAAGTAATATAGTCGCCTCTATTATATTTGACAGCACAATTATAAACCGCAACCGTCAAGTTCCCAAAGCGACGCAAGTCATGTATAATATTCATTTGACTCTTTTCAAACCGCACGATTTCGTACAACTGGGGACTTTTCGACAAACTTGCTGCTCCGGCGCACAGTAAACGGATTCTGAACGAATGAGTCGCTACGACGGTGATGGTCAAGCGCAAAGATATTTCATTGTAATGCACGTCAATTTTTTATTCCTAGACTAGCTGCCGGCCGCGCTCGTGTGTTGCCTTGGGCCAGAACTGAAGAGATGGCTCCGAGAGCACACCGGGTCAATTACACTGTGTGAGTTTCGGACCTGCTTACTTTGCATAAACTCCCTTAATATGTGGACATGGGACAAACGGAAACGTTTGCTTTCATCCTGTAGCGTGTATGTATACAATGTACTTATCAGGGTGGATTTTATAATGGTAGGATGTTAGTTGCCTGGGGAGTAAGCTGGATCAGGCTATGCTTTTTACATATTATTTGTTCTTTGGAGACCATCAGTTGTTCGTTCCAGAACATCCCACATATGTGGGTGGAAAGATGGGCCGCGATGGCGATTTCGCTGGGGTCTTCTGATGTAAGTGTCGTCAAAATAATCAATAACGGAGTTAAGAATGTCCGAAAACTCGAATCTTCTATAATTTTGATAAAAGCAAAGCTAGAACAGTTGCTGTTCCTCTGAGGTCGCTCTGTTACGGATCGCCGTTTTAAATAATCGCTCAAGAGTGTGAGCCGCTGCTCTGGAGTTCGCTAAAAATGCGGTCGCTGTTTTGAGTGAATCGCTGTTTTTGAGTCGCTGTTTTCTGAATCGCTGTTTGACGCGCACACCGCGCGGGTTAACGAGTGGCTGCTGGGGTGCCTGGTCGAGAGCCGCGCCCCATGCAAAAACTCGGGTCAAACATCGTTGATATTGATAGACAAATTCAGTTATAATTGGAAAACAATGGGAACGATTTTGAGTCATATTACTTTAAGTTGGCTACACAAGTGTTTCGATATAAATCTTTTTCAAACCATAAAGACAAAGTCACTGTAAATAATTCGCCTAAATACCGGGTGGAAATTAAAGGTGGGTGTACCTCATTTTACAGTTGAATAAAACCAAAAATGTTCAACACAGACATAATTGTATTACATCATTTCAAAGCACATTCTTTGGAGATTTAGTTGCGACCGGTCCAGCATCTTCACGCTCCACGGCCTCACCGCTACAGCGCGTGCTCGAAAAGCCCGCCTTGTCTTGAGTGGCACAGCTGTGCTCGCTTGTCCACTTCACGGAGAACTTTGGCGCACGTTTCCCTGCTGATGCCTCTGACCTCTTTCTTGATGGCGCGCTTCAGCTCTGTCAGGTTCTGCGGGTCACCCTGGTACACTTTCGACTTCAAATACCCCCACAGGAAGAAGTCCAGCCGTGTCAAGTCGGGGGAGTGAGGGGGCCACGGATGACTCGTCTTCCGGCTGATGCGCGGTCGCCGAAGTGCTCCTCAAGCCATGCGAGGGTCAGTTTTGCCGTGTGAGGGCTTGATCTTGCTGGAACCACCAGCTGCCCTGATCGCCGTCACCGGCTCTCCTGATCTCCTTCAGGAACTTGTTCAAGACGCTGATGTAGCGGTCGGTTGTGATGGTGGTCGTCGCGCCATCGCTGGTCTCGAACCAAAATGGCCCGATGATGCCACTGGCGCTCATGGCACACCAGACGGTGACCCTGGGGCTGTGGAGAGGCAGCTGATGCACGTCTTCTGGCTTCTCCGAGGCCCAGATCCTGCAGTTTTGGCGGTTTACTTTGCCGTTCAGACAGAAATGTGCCTCGTCGCTGAACCAAACTTGTTGCAAGAAGTCCGGATTTTCGCGCACTTTCTCCTTCAGCCAGCTTGAAAACGTCATTCGCTGCCCCTCATCGTGTGGCGCCAAGTGCTGGTGGACGGGCAGCTTGTAGGGTTTCAGGTTGAGATCCTTCGTCAGAATTTTCCTCAATGTTAAGTGGTTAGTGCCAACTTCCTGAGCGATCTTTCGGATGGATTTCGAGGGGTCACGCTCGATTGCATCCCTCACCTTTTTGATGACGTCAGGGGTTCGTTTTGATATTGGCCGGCCGCTGTGACCCCTGCTCTGGTTCAGGACAGAGCCCTCTTTTATGAAACCTTCACACAGACGGAGTATTGTTTTTCTTGTCGGAGTTCTTTTCTTTCCAAACTGTGCTCTGAACTTCCGCTGTGTCTGAATAATGGATCTGGTGTTCCAATAGGAATCTACCAGTTTTACTTTTTCCTCAGTAGGTACTGATTGGAGACATGATTGAAAACGATTAAAAAGTGTTCCCGAAAAATATCCAACCCTCGTGCTTTCGAATTTTGCATGATAGCACGCGCTAAGCTAAATAGTGTGCATGCTAGAAGGAAGGTAAATGCGGTACACCTTTAATTTCCACTCTGTATCAAAGTTGTCAAAATACTTTGCGACACAGATTAAAATTCAAATAGGAATGCTTCCTTCACACACGTCGTTTCTCACTTTGCACTTCTAGTTCTTAGATCCTGCAAAATAAGATCAGCCGTAAATCTGCTCCGTAGGGGGGGGGCGAACCCCCCCCCCCCTGTCCTTTTCCGTAGATATCTCCTAAACGACTGCAGATAGCGCCACCAAACTTTCAGGACCCCCCTGGGCATCAATTTTACACACTGTGACCAAAACTTTTCAAAGGCTATGATAGGTTGGCCACAAATGACGTCAGAATGACGCATGTTCTGCCATTTTCGACCGAAAGAGCTTTGCGAGGAGAGCTGTCAGGATCGGTTTGACCTAGGTCAATGAAATTTGGTCACAAGGTAGTTCCCCGTTTGGGCTATCGAACGCCGTTTGAATTTTGAATATCGGCCGGTAATTTTTCGAGATCTAAGGGGGGGCGAAACGCCCCCCCCCCTTACGGATGGTAGGGTCCGCCGATAGCCCTACGGGGCGCGGGTTATCTTTAGGCGGCGCACATCGCCAAAACAAATTTTTCGCTGAAAAAATCACTTTCAATGTCAATTGTTAGTACAAAAATCGCATTTGCATTCCTTTGCACTCGGATCGTCGTTCGTCGTTCGAGCTCGTCGAAGTAACTTCAGGCGGTTGCATTATGAAGCCAAGAACCTTTTTTTTTGTTCGATCAAAAAACAAGGCAGTCGTCGGGGTGGCTTCGGTTGTGGGGTGACGTTCTGTCCCATGGCCGCCTGAGAAGGGCGAGGGTTCCAGTTAGCACTTGGTCCACAAGATATGCTACCTAGCCAGTGCCACCAACCAACAGGGGCGGAGCTTCCTATACAGTTGGTGGGGCAGCTGCCCCACCAACTAGGTATTTTGCCCCACCAATAAGCGTTTTGCCCCACCAATAAGCGTTTTGCCCCACCAACTTTAGCTGATTTCTAAGACTTTGTTGCTTTGCAAATTAATCTTTTTTCGCATTGAATAGCTTTGGAATGCCTGTTTGATGCAAAATAATACATGTTTGTCTGTAATGATAGGAATTGATTCAGTGTGGCATTTTATTCAACTTTATAATCGGACATTGTGGGTTTGACGACTTTTTGCCCCACCAACTTCCTTGGAAAAGCTCCACCCATGCCAACCAACCGTAAATGTTCCGCAAATAGCTCATAACTGCTAGAACGGTAATATTGCATATTCCAGCTGCCATTTCACGCACCGAACGAAAGATTTCAGCAATACCGTCAGCCATATTATGCCATGCTATATTACTGCATTCTTGGCTCTGTTATTATTCGCACTATTCAGAATACCTAGCATACAAATACCTGCACGGATGTTGGTAATATTCTCCTCACCACACCTGCCAATGATTGAGTGACTAGAAAACCGCAATTGGCTTGCGGATCCGTTCCGAGACACAGCAAATTGCGTGAATTACGTGCATTTAGGGCTACGTTTTGGTTATTGGTGCGTTTTCTGGCTATTGGCTTCATCTTTTGCCGCTTGGTTTACATTTGTGACATGATATTTTCAAAAAAGCAATCCAAGTTTCGTTCACTGTTTTCGCAGCGCTACAATCATTACACCTGATGTATGTACATTGTACATCTGTCTTCGTCGCTGTTACTGCTTCATTGTTTATTTACTTTACGGTGTGAACACGAACAGTTGTGGCGGCCGAGATAAAAGATAAAAATTGACAATTATGCTTTGACGGAAAAGAAAGGCATTGCAGTTCGATATCTGACCGCACACTGAACTGAAAACAATTCTTATAGCGATGTAAATTCCATTTTCTGAACAAAAAAGAAACTTGTTATTTACGAGCGCGGTAACCATGGCACCATAATCTAGGGCGGGAAAATAAAAGTGAATCATGCAAAGCGCAATAAAACAAGAATATAAAAATGAGATGAAATATGATATCGTTGTTTGAAACATTAGCGAGACCTGCCGCTGCACTTATTTACGCGTTATTTTTACCAATTTCGCAGATCCATGACACAGTTTATCCCGCCGATTGTTTGCAGGAAGCAGGACTGTCGCCGTTACGACGATGGCTGCTGATCCCGTGCTGGAGTTGTTGAATCTCTGCCGGCTTCCCAACGGACGTCAATCGCAGGCGGAGGACTGGTTCCGACCTTGCTGATGTGGTCTTCACCCGGACGTCATTTCGTTCTTCTGCAAGTGCGTCAGAGGCTAGACGACATGATCAGTGATCAGCTCCCACCTCACCGAGCTCTGGCTGCGCAAAGCCAGCCCGTGCCTTTGAACATCCGTTCTAAGGCGAGTGCTTTCCACGCCCGGTTGTCATCTCCGTTCTCTAATCAGCAGCCTGGGAGCATCGACCGATCTAACTTGTTGCGTTAGCGTGTCAAACCTACTATCCTTTTCAAACCTACTGTAGTATGTGCACTCGAGCATGTAGACATACGGATGACAGTTGACACCGACTCCCCTGTTTCAGGGCGGTGAAGCAGATCCCGGGTAGCGCCAGACGGAATGGAGATTTCGGTCTGCGTCAATCTCCAGCGTTTCTGCCACCGAGGGTGAACCACAAGTCACCACGCAAAGGGCTGTTCCTGCTCCAGAGGACAACGCCATGCGGTTTCGTCTGCTCCCACATTAAAGCCAGAGGCAGTCACCCGAATTTCGACTGTTTATTGTTATTTTATGAGACCAACTTTTCGTATACCGGTGACTTCATTTCTACCTGTGGGACTTTTTGGAGGAATCCGCTAACCGCCGCTTGTTTTTGAACACCAGAATTCGGAAGGTTTTCTTCAATCAGAAATCAGCAAATTGTGCTGCCGGTATGCAATCTCACCAAACAGTGCAGAAGCATCAGAAGTGAACACTGAAAAGCTTGGGCTCCCTGGGCATTTGCTGAGAGTCGCCAAGGCTGAGCGTAGATACGTTATGTCAAAATGCATCAGTTTTTTTCTTTGCAAGACATAGGCCCACTACCCGAAGTCTGTTTTGAATACAACACTATGGCATGTAGCATGTTTTTGCATTGAGCGGGCATATTTTTCGACGAGAACCCTGAATAGTGAATACGGGACAGGACTAAGGACACGCCTGACGGAGAGCTCTGACTACTCTGTATCTAGCACGATAGGCGACAACTGAACGCGCGCCAAGCACGGTCCGATTCTGCAATGGTCTGAACGGCGAGGCCATACGATTATGGAGCGTACTGCAGTCTGTACGCTAAAAATAGCACATGGAATACCAACTAAGCAGCGAGGCCGCTGCTCATCTCAATGGCTCATACAGAGTCCCACTCACTCAAACACCATAACGCCATTCGGATCGCTATCCTGCACCATTTGATTGCATTACTCCTCCGTGCGTATGTGTGTGTGTGCGTCTGCGTGCGTGAGCATTAGAAATGCATGCGCAAAGCTTTGGCAAAGATAAAGCCAAAGGTAATGGGAATGCATAGAGAAACCAGCTCCGAGACGTTTCTTATCAGCTACAAATGCCGTTAGCTATTCACATATTCCAGCTCTGCTATGTTGACCTTCGGCGGTTTCTAAATTTGGACCTGTTTCGTAACCGGGCCAGCCGTGCAGGTCTGTGACGTAGGGCAGGCATCGTTGCCACTTATCCAAACATACCTCATCTGAGCAGTACTGGGGAGGGAGCCGCGGCCGGCTCCGCGGAGCGCTCAGCGGGGCTCCCAGACGTCGCCTGGCCAACACTGGCTAAACAGTGGGATAGTTCACCGCAGTTGTGATTGATCGGTGCTATCACACTGGCAAATAATGGGAGAATGGTGGACGACTCTGCTGTGGTGCGTACTATCAGGTGAGTTTGAAAAGGCGCCAATGAGTTCCTGAGCTCAGTCTGCGTGTGTGTGACACCTTTGTTGAAATTTGACAGTTTCGAAACTTTACTTTTTATTCAACATTGACGTTTGACGAAGTACTTGGTTATAAGTTTTGAACTTAAGATATTGGGTATGTCTTTTTTAAATTGTGCCTTTGTGAGGTCTCAAAGCAGACCGTTCCTTTGTCTGAAAGCAAGGGCTCTTCATCCTAACCGCGTTTACCAGAGCCGTAGAAGTTAATAATGAATATCATTAATTTCAAGCCATGAACAAGCCAAGCCATGTCAATGGTCGGTTAAGCAATGCAAAATAGGCATACACCTATTGGGTATCCGTCTGACGTTTGTCCTGATCACATTGCAGGCGTAGTGGCGCTGTTAGTGGCGGTGGCGGTCGACATGGCACTGCTGCCCCGCTCCCGGTTCCACACGTGGCGCACTCTGATCCTGACCTACCTGGTACGTCGTGCCTTCCATCTCGTGGCGTGGCACAACAGGCGGACCCTCAGCGCAAGATACGCCTCCTTTTACAACACGCAAGAGGAGTTTGTCATGAAAACCCTGAAGCGGCATGCAGATAGTACTTATGGACGAGACTTTCGCTTCTTTGACGTGCACTCACTCGAGGTATGACTCTATGAACATTGCTGGATTCCATACAGCATTACACTATTCGTTTTCAAGTATAGAACATATCTTACCATTGTTCTCAGAATTAGTTGCGCAGGCATGAGTCAAAACGAGTTCATATTCAGTAGATGTCATTTTACTATTGCACTTATGTAGTTAAAGTTACGTCTAAAGAGCACGGCTCTCCTTTTCAGGATTTTCGCCGCCTGCACCCAGTCACTGAATACAGCCACTACCAGCCGTACATTGATCGGGTGATGGAAGGGAACGTTCGCGCCATGTTCCATCCTGGTGAAGAGATCACGGCATTTTTCTGCTCCTCTGGAACTACCGGCGTCAGCAAGTACATCCCGATGACGAAGCGCGTCACGCTGGCACAGGCCGTGGCTATGTTCGGGGCCCTAGACTTCTTCCCCTGGAACCTGCGCAATATCATTACCCTGCCGGTAGCCACGCGGTGGAAGTACTCTCCGACGGGAGTGAGGGTAGGGTCGACCTCAGCGTTCGCTCAGAGCTCGCCAGTTATTGCTTGTCAGTGTACAATGCTACCAAAGGCTAACATATTTACAACGGCGTCCAAAGCGCTTCACGTTGGTCTCGTGTTGGCGCTGCGAGATAGCCAGGCTTGTATCTGGGACGCGGGATTTGTATTTACTCTTTGGAACCAGCTTCACTTTATGGAAAATAATTGGCCTAGCATAGTTGACGACATTCGGTGCGGCAGGCTTAGTCCAGCTCTGGACGTCACTGAACAGGAGCGGAGGACCATCGACTCGCTCCTCATTCCCGACCCCGAGAGAGCCACCCGCCTTCAGAGGGAGTTTGAACGAGGCTTTGGCGGCATTGTGCCGAGAGTTCTCCCTCATGTAGAGAAAGTAATGGCCATGTGTTCCGGAACCTCGATGAACGTTTACATTGAACGGTGCAGGCCGTACCTGGGCAAACTCAAAATCTCTTCAGCGATGTACGGAGGTTCCGAGAGCATATTGGGTGTCAACATAAACAACCCTGGCGAAAAGCCTGCTTATGCGATGCTACCTGGGCTCAACTTCATCGAGTTTCTGCCGGTGGACGAGTCAGGTGATGCGGAGGATGGCGCGACTCCACTGCTGGCCTCAGAGGTCCAGATGGACCAGCTGTACGAGGTGGTGCTGACCAGTGCTGCCGGTCTGTACCGTTACCGGATGGGGGACGTGGTGCGCGTGGTCGGCTCCTTCCACGGCACGCCCACCGTCGACTTCCAGTTCCGCGCCAAACAGATGCTCAACGTGCACATGGAGAAGGTGTCGGAGGCGGCGTTCACGGGCGCGCTGCGACGGTCCGTCGACGGCTGGCCGGACCACCAGCTGGTGGACTTCACCACTGCTGAGAGCGTGCTGGACCCAGCCGCTGCCGACTCGGCGGACTCACCTCCCCACTACCTGGTGCTGGTCGAGCTCTCCGGACCGTCTCTTCCACCGCAGCAAGCCGCTGACATTGACAAAACCCTGCAGAACGAGCACTCCGTCTATCGGTCGTTCCGTGCCAAGTCCTCGATTGGCCCGATGAGGGTGGTGTGTGTTCGGCCGGGCACTTTTGCCGGCTATCGTCAGCACGTCTTCGATACTACCCAGACCACAATGAGTCAGTTCAAACAGCCACGCGTTCTACGCACCGAAGAGCAAGTCAAGTTCTTTCTGAATAGGGCGATATCAACAGAGTGAGGTGCATGCTGACGTATACTGAGGACTGTTTACCCCATGCCATGCTGTTATTTTGTATCCGCGACTGGTGGAAACTGAAAGCAGACAAACAGATCAGATTTAGAAATGCCTTGCCGCCTCGTGGCTTCTGCGGCTAACGACGCCGGCAGCACGTATCCGCCCAGCACGCTTCCCTATAATGAACGAGCAGCAGATGTGTGATAGGCTCTTATTTTAGGCCAGATGTGTCATAATTTCTGGTTCCATGTAAATATGATGTTACAGTCAGTGTAATGTGTTTGTGGACATTTTTGTCGTCCAATACCTAACCTACGTTGTGTGTAGGATGTTCACCGAAGTATAGGCATCGTGCTAAGTATATTGCGTCCACTCACAACTGAAAAGCCATAATGCGTGCAGATGTGGACTGTACAAATAAAATAAGGTCAATTCATAAATCGTCTTTCAATTTCACGGGAATGGGCGCTCCAAAACTCACGCGCTTTGTCTACATATATGGACCCCATCAGAGCCATACTTCACTTGTTCTGAATGTTCAGTCAGGGTTCAGTCAGTCGTCATCCGGTGCTCATCCACTAAGTGTGGAATGGGCACCAGAAGACGGCAGGTTGTGGGTGAGAATAAGTGAGATTCATTGATAAAAGATATAAGTTTAAGTACAGTTCTAAAGGAAATTATAATACGGTCATGATCGAACGTGGTAGCAAAATGTAATCTTATTTGTAGAGATAAATAGTACTAATGACGCACGGTGCGTAGGTACGTACGGTGAGTGCAGTGCACCAAAGAGTCGTGCACTTGAGTCGTGGGTGTGTTGTGCACTTGGCCCTTTTACTGTATCGACCGTGTTTGTTAAGAAGATGCGAAACATGAAAGTCGAAATGGCTTTTATTCACGGCCTACATTTACAATGTCTTAATAAATAGGACGGGAGACAGTAATATTGATTATCTCTTCTGTCACGAATCGAATCTTAATTACAGGAACTCTTGCAAGCGTCGGGTACAATGACATGCTCAACACAAAATAACCGTAGATCAGCACCTGAATAACCCCTCCGGCCTCGCTGTGCCATCGTCCACCAGTAAGGGGCGCGTGCGGCAGCTCGAGAGATTCGCGAAGTAGCTAGAAGGACTGCACTAGCTCGGAACGGCTGCGGTTGAAAGTTTGGGACGCTGCTGAGACTTCCGTCAAAACGGCCACACGGAGCTCGGCCGCTCATGAGGTTAAATCAACGTATACATCAACTGCACAAACTGAGCTACATGAACTTACGAACTGAACTACAGCTGATGCCCGGAAAGGAAAGAACTTATAGAAAATAGACCTATGATGCGTACAGGAACGGTTTGTCGTGCGACAGTTGACAGACAAGAAAACACTTGCCGCATTCAAAGCAGGAATGTCTTTCGAACAGGGAATCAGGTGTGCCAAGGCTTCACGTAGGTAAACAGTTGGTTGAAAGCTGATACTGTTCATGCGACAATGCATCGACACCTGGCATATGTATAACACATGGAAGTCGCTGTTTATGCAACAAAATGTAGAATTCGCCCTATGATACCGGGTTCTGATGCTCCCAAAACAGAAAACGACAAATGTTCATATAGGGGGGGGGGGGGGCGAGATTATACGCTACGTCACGGGACACATTCACGACTATGTAGAGCTGGATTGTTATGTGCCGAGTAACGTGATGTTCAAGGTGCCACAAGCACGAGCCTTCCAAACTTCGGGGAGTGGTATTGGCCGTTACAGCTTGTTAACCCGGCAGTTGCTGGGGTATTTCGCCACCCACCGTTTGCTGGGGGGGGGCGTTAAACGCCCCCAGCCGATAACTCGAGAACCAATAGGCGCAGCGAAACGCACGAGGCGGCAAACGAAAGAGCGCGACAAGACGCTTCAGATGAGTACTTTAAAGTTGAGTTTTGAGGTCACAGGTCAGGTCAAGGTCAGGTCAAACACCTGAAATCGGGCTTTCAGTAGCATGGACTTCAGGACATCGCAATGGGCGCCTCTCGCCATAAACTCTGTCAAAACGGTGCACAATCCATCTTATAAGGCCTACAAGAGTGTCAGCTTCATATAGGGGTCAGTCAAGCATAGGTCAGGGTCAAGGTCAGGTCAACCGGGTAGGCACATATCCCCGAAAATCAAAACTGATATTCGCAGCCTGTGACACATGTTTTATGGGTACTTTGGGGCGTAGAACACGATGGTGACATTCATTTTATCATATGTGTACGTGTTTGGCTCAAAAAGTTCAATTTAAGAAATTCATGTATCATGGTCGTGAAGTAGTCAAGAAAAATTGCCAAGATTCAGTTCAATATTTTGGAAAATGCGGAACGATAATCAATAATCGAAGATAGCCATTTGATTGATCATGGTATTGGCAGTCTAATGGCGTCTACGGCATGTCTGTATGTCTATTCTGTGATTTTATATGATTTTTTGAACATATGCCGTTTTTGGTCGAAAAGTCAGAAATCATGACGTCACTAAAACCTCGATATCTCAAAAATTTTCCGACCGATTTTTTTGAAACTTTGTCACAATAAACTTCAATTAATTCCCTACAGGTACCCAAAATTTGGCGCGCCTGCGGCGCGCCGTTTTTATACTATGGCCCGGCGAAAAAAGTGGGGGCGTTTAACGCCCCCCCCCAGCAACTCGCGGGTTAAATGGCCTGGATGCTGAAATACTGCTCCTCGCTGGCTCCATCCCTGAGGACCTCAGCAGCTCGTGGCCGACTCGTAACACGTCTGCTGGCTTTCTTAGAACCTCCGCAGCTCGTTGCTGGCGATGGAGTGGAGCTCCAAGTTTGGGTCGGCAGATGCGACCGGCGGTTGCTCCTCATTCTTGGCCGCATGCTGTGCGACACTGCGACTCGCATCCAGATCATCTACGCGGCGGGACTTACAGCAAAGCATCTTGCGGTAAGCGGCACGCAGTTTGGCGTTCAGTAAGCCGTAAGCCCAGCCTTCGAAAATGAAGCCAAGAAGACGTAGTTGATGCAGGATACCGTTCAGCATCGGTCGTGGCCGCCAGCGACTGGAGATGCGCACCAGCGGCGCCACGATGTCCAGCGAAACGGTCAGCGATAGCACCGTGACGATGCTCTTGAAGGCGCGGTAGTTGTCGAGGAAGGTCTTGCGCTCTCCGTTGCTTTCATCATGCCCATGCTGGCGTCGCTGTTGGTCCTCCTTCATGAGCTTCTTGTAAGTGCGGTGACCCACGGTGCCGGCGTAGAGCAGCATGCCGGCCGTGATCAATGAAAACGTCACCATTTCCATCTCTGCCAGGATGGTGAAGGCGTGGGTCATGCCCGTCTCCCAGCGGCAGCCGCTGTAGGTCGAGTTGCCACCGCGGCTGACGACGTGCTCGAAGAACGTCTCCATGTCGGTCAGGAACGACACCAAGCCGAAGAGGACATTGGCGGCGAACACGATCCAGATGGAGGTAAAGAGCCACGGCCTGGCCTGCGTCATGATGGCATAGTGCTGCAGCGGATACGCGACCGCCACGAACTGATCGAGGGCGGCGCACGACTGAGCCGCCTTGAAAGCGATGCCAGCACCGCTGCCTCCGTACTGCATGAAATGGCACAGCGACTCACTCTGCAGACCAGCCACGTCATAGAGGCCGATGAGCATTACGAACAGACCGAAGACGGTGCAGTTCAAGGACATGCTGCCAGCGATGAGTGCCATCGGCTCGTCCCAGAGGTGTCGGTTGCTAAGCACGGTGATCAGAGGGAAGGAGAAGTTGATCGATAGCACAGCGCCCACCACCGTCTTCACCCAAATGTACACCATTCTTCCAGGACGGCCTGCTAAGTCGCTGGTGTCCGCTGTGAGACTCAGATCAGCCGCTCATGTCAGGTGTGAACGTCGGTGGGTGAGCGGTCTTTCTGGTCTGATCTCTCGCGGCACCCTGTTGATATAACAGGCCGACCCACCTACCGGACGCTGGTTGCCATAGAGATGCTCCGATGCTGCCGCTAACAAAAATGTTGATTAGGTACTGACGGGTCTAAGGCAAGAACAGATATTGCCGAACTCTTGGAACGGCTTTATTGGAGCCTTTTCTTAAAGTCTATGTCCATTAGGGGTACCCATTTTTCCCGATTTTGGAAATTTGTGGGTGGGGGTGGTTTTTCCCATTATTTCGCGGCTCCTGATTCCAATGGTGCCAAAAATATTGAAATCAAAGGTGGTTTAGGGGTCGCGAATTGAGATTGAAATTTGCGTATTTACCTAGAAATATGCTTATTTTACGCTGATAGTAAATCGCAACGAAGGCAAACTTTTTGTTTCGAGAGTCGGGTGGAGGGGTCATTGAACGCTCCCTTTTCATCCAGATCGATGTGCTCCATCACGTGGTTACGGTTCAATGCTTTACTAGCGATCATTACAATGTCGATATTGTAACATTTGATGAAAAGCGCCGGGATGTTTTGCTCCTGTTGCTGGTATCATTCTGGTCAGCGTGCCATCATTTTTGATATTTTCTTTTTGTCTTGCATTAGTGACCTTTGATGACCTTTGAGGTCAAACTAAACTGTGAAGTTTCAGTTGCCATATCTCAGTTCATGACAGGCTCTTTGTGTCCATTATACAATTCAAGTTTGTGCAAATTAGCTCAGGATACATCTGACAGATCATGGCTCCGAATGTATTTCAAACCATGTAATTCAAAAACGATCAAACCATTTCGACCGTATACTTCCACAAGAAACGCCGTCCCGTTCGCTCACGGCTACGATGTAATACACCTTTAGACAGGGTAGGATAAATACCTAGGTATGGGTGTTCTATACCAAAAAATTCAACTTCTGATCCAAAAACAGAAACTCCAAAGAGTCGATTCTATCCATGCCCACCAACCATGTACCATTTCATTTCTTCAGTGGGGACAGATACACACCGTTCATGTAAGAGTTTCCGATACAATCCGATCATTTACGAGTTCATATTAATTATTCGACACGGGGGACTAGCCATGCGCTGATACGTGCACGGCTGATAGGTATGTGACGAAGAACTTTCACAGCTTCTGGCACAGATCATTTGTGATCTCAGGTAATTAGCGTCTGAATCTGAAGAACCTATAATGTAGCAGAAGATTTTCATCCTGCATGGGCCGTATGGTGGCACCAGGACGCATCATATAGAGGAGTGTGCGTGCAAAGGCTGAAGAGGAGGAGAATCAGGTCCGCCACCATAAGGTCCGTGGCCCACCCACTGTCTCGGCCCCCAGGCAATGCCAAGAGTCAGTAAACGGTTCTGCCTCGGAGTTGGCTGAGTCGTTTAGACTTGGTACCTTCCTAATTCTCAGCTTTAGGCAATGCCATTCGACTTCAGTTCAGCACCATCTGAGGGTTTGGACTGGGCCTGTGACTTGTGAGTGCAGCGTAAGATCCGTTACTTTATCT